CCGTCTCGTTGGTGCAGGGTGTGTTTGTGAGTGCTCTGCTTGGAGCAGGCATCTCGCTGCTCTGACCTGCTGGGACTGGCGGTGAGGAGATCTTCCTGGACATAGGTCCCTGTCTCTGTCTCCCAGCCGGGGCAGAGGCTGCTGTGTGCTGGTGTAGGACCTGCCCGCACTGAGGAGACTTCCTGGTCCGAGGAAGGGGTCACCCTGCCTGGAGGGGAGGCGCTGTCCTGGTTCCTCCCAGCTCATTGCACACCTCAGCCACTGTCCAGATTGTCCTGACCTCATGCATCCAGGCTCCCCATGCCGAAGGAGCAGTGAGGGCTGGCCATGACCTGAACCCTTTCTCTACAGCCCCCATGGGGCAGCTCCCTTGGCAGGGAGGACCCTTTCATCCCAGTGTGCTGGAATTGGATGGGGAAACACTTGATGGTGATTAGTGAGCATCACCAACTGGGGATCCCCAGTGCTGGGGCCAGGAGCTGTGAGCTGCCTCTGGATGGTCCTGTGGGAGCAGAGCCCTGTGTGGGTGCCTGCTGGCTCTCCCAGGGATCCCTAGGACAAGATCTAACTGTCAGTCTGTCTTGGTAGCAAGGACACCCCTGTGGAGAAGAAGAAGAAAGGGAAGAGGAAACATGAGATACCAGTGGACAGTTTGGACTTGGATCAGGATCTCCTGAGCCCATCTGTGCAGAGCCCAGAGGAGTCTGCGGAGTCTGCTGACAGCCAGGTACGTCTGAAGCCCTTGGCTGGCTGCTGGTGAGGGAAATCCTGGCTGCCTCTGGGTGGGAGAAGAGCTGGGCCCCGGGGCACGGCAGTCAGAGAGCACTTTCAGCAGTGTATCTGGTAGACCCCAGCCCCAGGGGAAGCCGGGGTCTGCCAGCCACACTGTTTAAAATCGGTTGGGGACCCTGAGTTGGGTGCATGCTGCTGTCCTGGGCACTGACCATCCCTCAGCTTTGAGCTTCCCTCTCCTCCATGGCTCCTGGCAGCTCACCTTTCCCAGCACAGCATGGGGAGGCAGGTTGGCCCTGCAGGGCTGAGGAGCTGTGGGTGTCTCCACAGGGCTCCTCTGCTTCAGGTCTCAGGGGCTGATGGGGCGATGTTGGTCAGACACTGATGGAGACCTCAACACTGTGGTGATGGGTTTACCTCAAAGGGCTGCCTGTTCTTTCCATCACCTCCATCCCACTGGGGCAGGGGGTGGGCTGGAGATCAGGCAGCCCTGGGCTTTCTCTCCTCTGCCCAGGCGAGGAGGAGGTGCTTGGTCTGCCCATCTCCCCCATGACTGCCCTTTTCATCCTGTACACAGAAACGCCGCTCGGGACGGCAAGTGAAGAGGAGGAAGTACAACGAGGACCTGGATTTCAAGGTGGTGGATGATGACGGCGAGACCATAGCTGTGCTAGGAGCCGGGCGAACCTCTGCGCTCTCTGCCTCTACTCTGGCATGGCAGGCAGAGGTAGGGCTGCGTGTGGGGCTGGGGTGACAGGGCGTCCTGCCCCCCGCGGGGTGTCCCAGCGGTGTCCATGCTGAGGTTCGAGGAAACGGGGCATCCCAGCCCAAGGATGGGGTGCGAGTGTGCCCATCTGGGAGGGTGCAGGCTGGCTTGGCAGGGACTGTGAGAGCACAAAGGGATGGGGCAAGAGGCGTCCAGCTTGATG